CTTGGGATTTTAGGCACACATGCACATGCACCATGTGTTTTTCAGGCCTCCAGGTCCAGGATTTGAACTGGAGTCTGTCATGTGATATCCAGAGTCCTAACCACCACGCCACTTGCTAGTCCCAAGTATGAATTTATTTTGGTGCAAAAAAATTTTGAAATCCAGCCCTAGTTTTGTCATGATACACATTTTCCACAAACTTTTGAAGACCTTTGTACTATCATGCATGGCAAGAACAAGAAAATCTGCAGGGAAAGAAGACACTAAAAACTCTAAATGTAAAATGTCACCAATAAGAAGTTTCCTTCTGGGCCAGCAGATGGCATAATGGTTATGTCGCTGACTCCCATGTAGTTGACCGTGGTTCAAGTCCTGGATACAGTAGCTTAAAATTTACGCCAGGCAGGAGTGCATGTGTGCCCAAAATCCTAAGAGGAGAATGGAGGAGAAGGGACTACAACATGGCCATCCCCCTGGCGGGAGATTTCTTGGTCTCTGTCTCTTCAGCAAGTGCATGCACCCTATAGCAGAAATCTCTACCAAAAAAAAAAAGGTTCCTTCTAAACCAAGATTCCAGTGACAGGCAAAGCTGCTCTATTGAGCGCTAAATACTCTCACACGTACGAGTCCAGGGAGGTCATTCCAAACCATAGCTGTTCACACCGCTGGTGGGGCCTGGGAGAAGGCAGTCAAGTGACAAAGAGGCAACTCACCATGCTCTCGTCCTCCATGTCATTGGCTGAGAGTGTCCAGAGCTTGGCAACAGCAGGATCCATGGCAGGCTTTGCTGAGTACAACCAAGAAAAGAGAAAGAGCTCTAAAAAACAGGAACAAACTCCGAGCCCTCGAGACTTTGTGTAGAGAATGCACAGAACTAGGAGCCAGGAGACCCAGGTTTGAGGCACAAGTGCTACCATTTATACAAGGCATGACCTCATGCCAACCACTTCTGAGTCACAGAAGCCATCGTGTGTTAAGCACCTGCTTGCACCACATACTGTATGAAGCACTTTGTATACATGATCAAATGTAATTTTTCTAACAGCCTTATGAAGTAAGTTATTTATTTATTATCCTAACTACCACTAAGGAAACAGGTTTAGATATTAGGCCAGTTATACAAGGTTACGAATACAAGAGGAGTACCTCCAACCACCGTCCCATACTGCCTTCTCTGTTACCATAGTTTCCACCCCACGACAAACATGGGGCTAAATAGTTCTCCCTATACCTACTGCAGGTGTTTTAAAGATGAAATGAGAGGGACCAGCAGTTGGCGTAACGACTATGTCGCTGAATTCCCATGTAGTCGACCATGGCTCGAGTGTCCCAGACCTGGTGGCTTAAACTCATACGGGGCGCGTGTGCATGCATGCCCAAGATCCCGAGAGGAGAATGGGGGAGAAGGGATTGCAGCGTGGCCATCCCTCCTGGGGGGTGATTTCTCGCTTTCTGTCTCTCTATCTTTCTCTGCCTTTCTGGCGAGCGCACGCGCCCTTTAGCAAAAACCTCTCCCCCCCCAAAAAAAAAAAAAAGAAGAAATGAGAAATGTGTTAAAGGCTCCATAAATAATAAAGCTTTGGCCTCACATAAACCTGTTAAATACAAGATCAAGGCTCTGAAGCTGCTGGTGGCAAAGTAACACGGTAGGTTGGTAGCAGGTACAAGCTTCACACCTTCTGCCTCCCTGTCTAGGTCAAGAGCTCAAGGGCGGGAGAAAGCTGAGGCTGGGATTCAGTGGGGGCAGATCTTCAGAAAGGTCTCCGGATTAAGTGCACCCCCTAGTGGTTGCTGTCACGATTAAATCCTCAGACCTCCACAGGGCCACTGCTCAGCCTCCTCTATCTACTCATCCTGGAACCATGAACCCAAAGATAAGATTCCAAAGGGGTTCTTGCAGATTGAGGCTGGACAGTCAAACAGTGCAGCATGAATGTACATACATAAAGGCATGAATTTAATACCTGTAAATATTTACATATCTCACAGCTGAGACAAATCGGACACACAAAAAAAAGGGATGAAAGCAGGGGCAAAGGTGTGTGTGTGTGTGTGTGTGTGTGTGTGCACGCGCACGCACGTGTACATGTGTGAACACAATTTTCTGGGCAGGAAAATCAGTTTTATATGTGTCTTGGGATCCTTAAAGCAGGAAAAGCTGATTTTATTAGCACAGGATAAAAAGGACAGGGGACTAGGAACTCTTATTCACCATTATCACTCTTAGAGGTCTTCTGAGAATAAATATAATTCCAAGGCTTGGAAAGACTTCATTTACTAACCTCTGTGACTTGGGCCTCTAGAAGCAGGAGGCCTCAGCATTGCCTGGTGCAGGAGGGGCTGCCCTGGGTAATATCTATTTGTTCTTTCAGTTTAGGACCCTAATATGCTCAGGATAACAGTATGTTAAACATCCTTCCATTTGGAAATGACAGAAATTAAAGGAAAGATCCTCTAAAACTATCACCATCTCCTTTATCACTGATTCAGTTGCTAATATGTCTCTCTAGGCCCATTCAAACAGAATGGCCTAGGGCCAGCCTTACCTGCAGGAGGCTTCTTGGTGATGGAAAGCTTAAGCTGACTAGAAGAGCCCACCTCAAAGTTCGGTTTTTTGCCCGTGATCTGAACAGAGAGCAGGCTGTCACTTTCATAGCCCAGGTGTTCTTGGACAGACCGCATCTCCTCAGCACTTAAGGACTCCCTCTGCAGCTGGAATTCAAGACATTGAATGATCAGTCTGTATCTTTCTGTGAGATGTTTTCCTATGCCCACCTATGCAGGAGTTAAATGTTCATTTCTGTGTGTTGAGTATATAATAGCAGAAGGTAGCAGATCTCACTTCATGCTCCACATTCAGTTTCTCACTGATTGGAACCCTTGAGTATAACCTGTCTGCATGTTTACTTCGAGCCTACCCTTCGGAAAGTTCTGAAGTACTATGTATCAAATATTAGGTACGTGGCACCATGCTGGTCATTGTGGGGGCCTAATGACCATGATTCTAAAGCTGAATTAGACATGGTCCTATTGTACAACATGCAAGCATGCCTACAATAAAGATCATCAAAACTGATATTCCAAATGAGAAAGGGGGAAGGAAATCCCTTCTACACTCTAGATAGTCAACATAGAAAAAAAAAAAAAAAAAGGTCAGGGTGCCAATTCTAGTCCATGAAGTTTTTAATAAGACGTTGTCCACCTATAGTATGGAGTACTGTGACATCATTAAAAAGAACAAGAGGAATTGGGATCAACAGTTGGCATAATGGCTATGTCATTGGACTCCCATGTAGTTGACTGCAGTTCGAATCCCAGACCCGGTGGCTTAAACTCACACCAGGCATGTATGCCCAAGATCCCGAGGAGAATGGAAAAGGGACTGTGGCATGGCCATCCCCCCTAGGGGGTGATTTCTAACTTTCTGTCTCTCTTTCTGGCAAGAGCATGTGCCCTATAGCAAAAACTACTTCAAAAAAAAAGAAAAAAGCTACTGGGCTGGTTGGTGGCATGGTGGTTAAGGCACTAGACTCCAAAATGGCCGACCATGGCTCAAGTCCTGGACCTGGCGGCTGGTTAGGGTATTGACTACCATGTGACCAACCACAGCTCAAGTCCCAGACCTGGCGGCTTGTTTCCTCACTTTCTCTCTCTCTCTGATGACTATAGCAAATTTAAAAATAGCAATAAATAAAATAAGTCTTTTTTTTTTTTTTTTTTTAATAAAAAAGAATAAGAGGAAACAGCCTGGGGTGGATAAATATCTAAGATCTCCAAGGGTAGGGAAAAAACTAGGGACTAAACAATGTATACATAAACATTTAAAAAAGAGGGACCAGCAGTTAGTGTAATGGCTATGTCGCTGGACTCCCATGTAGTTGACCGCAGTTTGAGTCCCGGACCCGGTGGCTTAAAACTCACGCAGGGCGTGTGTGTGTGCGTGCGTGCCCAAGATCCCGAGAGGAGAATGGAGGAGAAGGGATTGCAGCATGGCCATCCCCCCTGGGGGGTGATTTCTCACTTTCTATCTCTCTGTCTCTGTCTGGCGAGCGCA